CCACAGCTCCTATCCTAACCCTAACCCGTACCTCTACCCCCCACAGCTCCTATCCTAACCCTAACCCGTACCTCTACCCCCCACAGCTCCTTCTGTAGTCCCTCTACCTCTATATCTATCTCACCACTGACTCTGATCAGTGTTTCTCCTCTGGATAGTTTATTGTCATAGTGATGAGAAATGGAATATTGGGTCTACTCTGTAAGTCGGTTTGGAGAAAAGCGTCTGCCAAATGCAGAAACATAAACATAAACAACACCCGGGGGTTTCTGAGGGTCCGGCTACCTGCTGCCAAAAGCTGGTAGAGACACCCCAAACTCACCTTAAAGGACACTTATTCCTTCATTTTAGTGACAGATATGATCTAAAGCTGGTTAAATCAGAATAAGGTGAGTTCACTTACAAAGAATTTGCTTTGGTGTTTGGTGCACAACACTTCTATGAGAAGCAAGAAATAAAATGTAGAAATACAAATATAGAACAGAAATTATAAACTATAAACTAAAGAGTACAATCTTTAAAAATATAGATCTGAACGTACAAATGAAGAATTGAAATGTGCAATGTTGATGTGCAACGACAGACCATAAAATGCTGAATAGAAGAATAGGTGGGGGTCACTGGAGACCCTAGACCTTTAAACGAACTTCTTAAACTAAGATAGTTTTTAAAAAACCTTAAAATCCAAAAGACTGTTATTTATTTTTTTAACTTCCTGATAACAGAGTTTGGGAAGTCTTCAGTTTGACTTGTTACACTCATTTCTGTTCATTAATAACCAATAAAAAGAGTATTTAATCAGGACCTAAATGTGACTGTTGGACTAAATGTCAGCATTTGCTGGTCTGATGGGGTTTTATCTGGGCGTAAAGGCTGTGTCTTTATAAATGTGCTTCAGTGAGTTTAGGAGCAAAAATCTGCTCATATCTGGACAGAATTATTCTAAAGGGCTGTAGATTAATCCAAGCTTCCTTTGGGATTTGTAAAAGCTTTTTCTGGTGTCTGAGGCTGCAGAAAAGAATCGGTTTTCTGTTGTGTTTGCATGTGGATCACCATCACATGGATGAGCCAAATCCTATTAAGAATATAAAAAATGGTGGTTTTTCTGCATTTTCACTGACCAAACGATGTTTTCCCAAATCCAAATTCAGTTATTAAAGTTATTAAAGATGTCTTTATTTATTTTATTTATAAAGGACATAGTTTAATGTGACCAGAATGCAGGAAAAAAAAGCAGCAAAATGTCCACATTTTCTCATCTTTTCATACAGTTTAAAGGTGAGAATGAGTCAACTAAAGCTTGATTTATAATTCTAAAGATATAATGCTCACATTATAAAATTAAATAAATAAAATACAGATAATGAGTTCTACTAAAACATGATTTACAATTATAAAGCTGCAAGATGCAGAATAAAATAAATAAGCTTTATATAAAGAAAAACTAACACAAATAATGAGAGT